GGGCTCCAGTCACCTGAATTTTGACAGGGACTTAGAAGATCTTGTGAGTGTTGTCTGGAGGCCTTAGTTCCTCACTGTCCATTGACTGGAGATTTCATTGTCAGCATGTGGACCTCTCCAAAGAGAAGCTCACAATATGACAACTGACTTCTCCAAGAGTAAGGTGGGGGGGGGAGTGGGGGATGGGAGAGGATAGGGAGGAGGGAGAGGGAAGGGGGAGGGAGGGAGGGAAAGAGGGAGAAGAAAGGGGAAAGATAGGGAAAGGGAGGGGAAGAGGAGAAGGAAGGAGGGAGGGAAGGAGGAAGAAAGAGAAGCCATGCTGTCCTTGACCACCCTCAGGAGTCCAATACCATCACAGCTACCATGTTAAAAGTTCCCATTTTAGCCCCAATTTGAGAAGAGGAGAACTAGGCTCTGACTTTTGCAGTGAAGAGTGTTTTAGAATCTGTGCACCTAAGCCAGGTGTGGTGTTCATGCCTGTAATCCTAGCATTTAAGAAAGGCTGAGGCATGAGGAATTCAAGGCCAGCCTGGACTACATACTGAGACCCTGCCTCAAGGGGTGAGGAGGATGTGAAGACTCATTAAAAACCACCCACCATACGTGAAGAGGGCTATCAGTAGGAGAAATGGCTAATGTGGGATCATAATAGGGTTGCAAGGCTGACCTGCAAAAGATCTGAAAGATCTATCTTGGGACTCCCTAGCAGTGGGGGCCCTGCCGGAACCCATTCTACCTGGCAATCTCTGTATCTTCTTAACCTTTCCAATGTATTACTGAAGATACCCAATTTTCCATTATTGCTCTTGGCTACCTATTCTTGGAAAACACATAAACTAATTAGAGCTGGGGTGTTCATGCCTTATAATGAACCCAAGGATCCCTTATGAAAGTTTTCTGATTCTAATAAAAGCTCTCCTGAAGTTTTAATGGACCTTAAGGAACCAATGTCTTTAATCTTTCATGTGGGAAAGGATAGTCTCAGTGACACTAGTAAGGCCTTCTTTGCTCCCAAATGATATTATGAAAATAGAACACATGTTTAAGCATTATGACCTAATTCTTACAATAAAACTCAAAGACCAGTTCTTTTATTTCTAATGGACAAGGACTGTAAGCTAGGGGAGAGAGAAGGAGAGAGAGAGAGAGAGAGAGAGAGAAGAGAAACTGAGACTGAGACTGAGACTGAGACTGGGAGATTAAATGACAGAAGCTGGATGTGAAACTGCGTCAATTCCCAGCATGGCGCTCATGTTGAACCTGGTCAACCTAGGAGGACATCTGAAACCATCATCTCTTCATTATCTCCTTAGTAAAGCAGGTAACCTACCCTCAGGGACCAGGGAATGGGGATAGGTATGCATTTATTCAATTCTACTTTCAATTGTTTGGGGAGGTGGAATGATGTTGACATATAGCAGTTATAAAGAATTATTAGGATGCCTCTGGATCTCCAGAGGAAATACATATTAAAGTGGCAAATCTAAAATATTTTGTCTCAGGAACTCTTTATACTCTTAAAAAACATGAACGATCCCAAAGAGCTTTTACTTATGTGTGTCATATCTACTTAATAACCATTTTAAATTTTATTTTAATTGACAAATTTGTATTTATTTGTTATATAAAATGTATTTTGAAATATGTACATATTGCAAAATAGTTTAATTGAGCAAATTATCATATGCCTTATCTCACATCTTTGTGGTGAAAACATTTCCAATCTTAGCAATATTCAAGAATACAATGCTTTATTTCTAACTATAGTCACTATGCTGTACAATAGATATCTTGAAATATTAATATTTATTTGCTATCTTAATTATAGCTCTCTTATAAATTAAAAGGGAATTTAAAAATACTTAAGTGATTTAAAATAATGTAAACAATGCCTATTGCACATGAACAATGTTTTAATGAAAATAGCAATTTTCTAAAATCAAACAACTTGGAAGAAAAGTGACACTGTGTTTTATTTTTGCAAATTTCTTTAATGTTTGGCTTACTAGAAGGTAGCTGGATTCTCTTTTCTGTGTTTGCATTCAATCTCTCATGGAATCACACATTGTGTAGCTGGTGGAAAATTCCCCTGTATTATATAAGAGCAGAAAAGTGGAAAAGGCAAATAATATCTTGGCATTATTGTGAAAATAGTGTTGATCTTGGAAATCCACAATCTGAGAGAACTGAATTAAAGAGGTATTACAAATGCTCTTAATTTTGCTAATGGCAGACTCAAAACAAGAGATTGCTGACATAAGCCCTTCATGGCTCTGGAACCATGACTGATGCAAACATATAAGACTGCCATGGCTGGTTTCAGCATGCAATGGGAGTGACAGGAATGAATAAATGGAAGAGTTGTCTATGAGAATGGAAAGCTTACATGGCACATGAGAGTTTAAGGGAACGTTTCTTTCTGTGCCAAGATTATTTTACTGTGCACCCATATCTGCTTCCTCTTTCTGCTAGATAACTAAGTTTCTCTTCCCTTGGAAATTAGATGTGGCCTCATGATATGCTTCAAGCAGAGATGTGTGGCACTTCCATGAAGAAACTCTAAGAGCCATCTTTCTGTTTGCCATACTCTTTTCCCTCTTGGTAACCATGAATGTTCTTTGTGAATACTTGGTACCCCATCAGCCTGGGACCAGAATGAGGAAACATTGTTGAGCACAAAACAAAATCCTAGCTACCTCTTGCTGGACATGAAGCCCAAGTGAGAAAATAAAACACTTGTAGTTTTCCAGCTATTGAGATGTACCCATCCACTTCACTAAAAAGGCAAATCAAGAATATGGAATCCACAATTTAATAGAGATTTATTGAGACTCTACAGTGCATTAAACACTATGCCAGGTAGTATAATTACAGATGAGTTAGAATTGGCAGGAGCCTTCAAAGCTTGTAGTGCAGAAGTCATATCAGTAAATAAACTATATCACTCTCTAAAATGGACTCTGTTAACAATGGACATCATGGAAGGGGGAAGTTCTTGAATCCTGTATCAGTCAGAGAACTAGCAAGAACAGGCAGCATACTCTGATGGGATTTTTAAAGGGACGTTTTTCTGGAGGGACCATTTTTGCAATGTGAGCAAGGTTAAAGGGACCAATAAGGATGTTGAGGCATCCAGTAGTCAACCACAGAGGAAAGCCAATTCCACTCTAATCCAAGAAGATGAAGGTTAGAAATGATGTTACTGTCCCAGTGAGAGTTGTCATAGTGGCAGAAGGGTCATATAATGCCAGATATAGTTGTAGCAGGGTATGGATATTGCCAGAACCAAAGTAAAACATCCTGACAGCATCTGATTTTAGCCTTGTGAAACTCATTTCAGATTTCTGGCATCTAGAAACTTAGGAGAATAAATTTTGTTTTCATCCACCATGTTTAGAGTAATTTGTTATAGGAGCCATAGGAAACTAATACACAACTAAGAACAGAATGGAACCTCTGCTACCTCCAAATTCTAAGGGCTTGCTACTGGATCAAGTTCATGTCAGATGAATTCTTCCTTGAAATTGAGGGCTTTCCTGAAGGCTCTTTGGGCCTCATGCCTGCACATAAATGGTTTTTGTCCTGTTCTCTCCTACCCTCAAGTTCTCATGACAAATCCAGATATAGCGAAACTTAGCAGTGGGAGGAGTTTGACCAATTCTCTGTGGGTCTTAATGCCCCTTGTGAGTTCTGCCAGACCTGTCCTACCAGTTCCAAACACAGCCAGACACACCTTCATCTTCCACAATGTATTGTCTGAATTTTGAGTAATACCATGAGAAAGTCACACTGAATCTAAAACTAAAATCATCCCAGCCTTTCCAATATTCTCACTGGATTTATTTGAAAATTTTCAGTAATTCTTTTATCAACCACTGATCTGTTCATTCTTAAAGGCCAGGAGCCATATTCTCACTTCCAAATACATACTTGGCATCTAGTCTGTTCTGGTCATTGCTTGATTCTTGTAATTCCATTGCAATAGAGTTTTAGATACAATGAATAGGTAGGTTTGAGCATAATGATTCTTTGTATATAATTTCGCTATTGAGTGTGCATTAATGTCCAAAATCTTAGAAGACTAAAGCTCTCTGTTTTTCAGAGAAAGAGGCACACCTCACACCCTTCTCAACACATAGTCTGTTTTTTGTTTGTAGGAGCCTCCTGATCTCTGCCTTCTGAATAGCTAGGATTTACAGGCATTACAGGCATGAACCACTGACGCTAGGCACATAGCAGAAACTTAACTATGCAATTGTAGGAATCAGGTTATTCTGGATTTGAACCCCTCTTTGACATTTACAAGCCATGTCACCTTGGGAAAAATTACCTACCCTCTCTAAGTCTCTGTTTACTTAGTTGCAAAATGAACATTGTATTCATGCCCCTGTTGTGATATCCACTCCTGGAATTTCTTTCATTCTCTCTCTCTCTCTCTCTCTCTCTCTCTCTCTCTCAGAAAGGCCAAGTCTGTTAATGTACTTTGGGGACACAGTTGGAGAAGTGTATCTTTAAAGAGGCCGCTAACCGTCCTACAACCTAGATCTGAACTAGGCTGAACTGAGTAATGGGAGTGAGAGGAGTCCAGCTGGATCAGTCTAATTTAACATCAAAACTTCATATATAAATTAATTTTTGCATTGATTTTGATTTATCAAATTATCCTGATTCATTAAGTTTTCTTGGCACCCCTTTAAATCCTGCACCCAAGACAGTGCCTCATTCGCCTTTCCTTAGTCCAAAGCTTCCCTACAGGGCTTCGCGTCCTAAGTCCAGGATCAGAGAAGGTGGAAAAGGAAAGCCTTGCTCTCCTTTAATTGACACTTCTGCACTGAAACACTCACACTTACGAGAAGTGGGCGGAGCGAGTGGACTACACCTCCCAGAAGGCCGTGCGGGGCGGTGCCCTCGCTGATTGGCCGCTCAGGCCCCACCCCTGCTTCGCCCCCTTCGGGATGACCCAACTGCTAGTCACAGACTAGTGTGCTCCTGCGGCCTGCTGCTGCCACAGTTGTTGCTGCTGGCAGGCTGGTTTCATGGCGGCGCAGCCGGTGTCCCAGCTGCTGCGGCGGTTCGTGAGGTCCTGCGCCCGGGGCTGCAGCTCTGTGGCTCCAGTGACGCAGCCCCGGCCCGGGGAGCCCTCGCGACCCTCCACAGAGGTGAGCCCACCCCGCCCACCTCCCGACCTTAGCCGGGAGGGCTGCCCGAGTTTGCTCCTCTTCACCCTGAGAAGCATCTGCCCTGTCGGTGGAGGCCACTTATGGGGGGGCCCCTGGGGACACAGTAGCAGGTAGAGTGATGTTCTCTAGGTGGGTTTTCTTGGGCTCACCTGTTACCCAGCAGGAGGGGCCCCCCCGAGTCTCCCTTCAACTCCCCCACCCAGTTCCCAGTAGCTCCCCGCTTCCAGATCTCAGTGTTGCCAGAAATGGGGTCCTCCAGGGAATGGGACTTTGGGCTAGTAAGGTGTTTTGTGGCTACCCTTCAGGAGTTCTTTAATATTTTCTCTCCCTCCTTGAGTTGAGAGTGCTGGTGTTGTCTCTGTGACACCTACTTCATAGTGTGACTAAAAATGTCAGCCTCTTCCCACCAATAGTTGTCATTTTGTAGTCACAAGGCTTTGTGACCTGTCCTTCCCTCTTTCTTTCTGTCTCATCTTTGTTTCCCTTGGGAAGGTTCAGCCTCATTCTACAGTGGAACCACTCCAGAGTAAGCCTCCAGGCTAGGGCTTCCTCCTCTTTTAAGGTTTGGGACAGAGAATGTTTTGTGTCATAACAAGTTTTAAGTTTGTTGCCTTACCCATGTGGTTAGGGAAACATTTCCTGAGAGGAGCATCTCTTCTTTTGGTGAAATTTCTTTCCTAGACTCATCTAACTGTTCTTTTCCTGTTTCCCAGGACTGGACTTCATGTCCTAGGATTCTTTGCATGACTCAGTCCTTGACCCCTCCATCTCGCTCAATGAGGGGAAGGCTCCTGCCCAGACTGCTTGCTTTCCTCCTCTCTTGACTCTTTACCCCTCTGGAATCCTCAGCTAAGGAGACGCTGTGTTGGAAATAGAATTGCAGTATCTTTGAAAAACTGAACTCCATTGAGGAAAAGATGGGAAGGCAAAGATGGCTGAGAAATCTTTATAGAATACAGGAAAGGGGAAGTTTCTCCATTCCTTCTCTCCTAATTTGTTTTGTTACTTTCATGAGAGAGTTAGTGCTGGGTGACTTACTCTGTGGTCTCTTTAATTCTCATATACAACCAAATGAGGTGAGTTTGTATTTCAAAGTCAGGCAGCTCATGGAAGTTAACTTCCCTTAAGTCACTGTAATTTAGGGCAGCAGGAATTCAAACCTTAACAGCTATGCTCAGGCCACCTTTCTGTGGGCATCCTGGAGAAAGACTCCATGTACCCTTCCCTTTACAAGCAAGGACAGGCAGGATGGAGCAGGCAAACACTGTAGAGAAGAATGCCAGTGTTTGAATCCAGCCCCACACCTTATTTGATGTGTAAGCTTCAGCATAGAGCCTGATGCTTCACTTCTCAGAGCCTGTTTTCCCACTGTAAGGTGGATAGTTTCTACTTCATGGGGTGTTCGTTATAGGGATTAAGAGTTAATATATAGTAAAGTATGTACTTAGAACAAAGCCTGGTACATAGAGGTACTGGTCATGTAATTGTAATTATTGTTGCTATCCCAGCAGCCCTTGGCACATACTGTTTCCTATTAGTTCACTTCCACCTGTACACTCAGAATAGTCATTCTGTTAACTGTAGGCTCATAGACATTCCGTGCTGGCCACCTCCATTAGAGCTGCCCGCAGACTGGGAGTTCCTGATCACCAGGGCTCCTCTGCCTTTGTAGGTATTCCCCCACAGTGCTTCAGACATAACTGGGCAGGCAGGGGAGTCAGCAAGTATTTTTGGCTGCTTGAAACACAACTAGTGAGGAGTCATGTGGAATAATAGACTGAGCACTGAACAGGGAGACCCTATGGTCTCACCCTCCATCTGCCTCCAATTTTATCTGTCTATAGGACTGTCATTTTTCCTGACTTGTCTGTAAATCTACAAGGTTGGACCACCTCATCTTATGCAGAAAGGGAGGGAACAGGAATGCATCTTTAGAAGAATTTCATTGGTGAGCTGGAATAAGGTGGTGTATGCTTATAATCCCATGAGGCTGAGGCTAGGAAAGTTGTGTATTCAAGGCCATCCTGGGCTACATAGACCTTGTCTCAGAAAAAGGCAGAGGTGAGATGAAATATATATGTTCAGCACTTCCAAAGAGCCATTGGAGTGGTGAGGACATCTGGGATTCTCTGTCCTGTCTTCTCTTTCTGCAAGGTCCTTCTCCCCACCTCTACAGGGCTCTAGTGATCTGTTTTGGGAGAACCAGGGTAGAAAACCACTGAGCATTCTGTTTGTGTCAGGGTGTGGATGTGAGAAATGAGGCATGAGTGGGAGCTGGCTGTGAAGACAGTGGAAGGGGGCATTGGCTCAGTCCAAGGACAGGTTGAAAAGCTACAAGTACAAAGGGGTCATGGTGGGGTGTGGGTCAGTGGAGACCTGCCATCCTGATTGGGGTGACCCAAACAATCTTCCCTGCAAGGTTGAGCCCAGCTTAGGTAAACGTCCTTTTATCCTCCTGGAGCTCCATACAGGTTTTGTTGGGTCAATAGAGGACTGGTCTGAGAACTTGGGCCTGCTGCCTGTGACAAGGGCAAGGGATAGGGTGACTCTGGGCTAAGGTAAAGGCCCAATTGTTCTGAGTTCCAGAAGGGGCCAAACACTGGCAAGGAGAATCAGGCCTGGGGCAGGACACTTGGCTGCAGCTGCGTCCTCTTATTCAATAAAGACTAACTTTGAAGAATCACTGGCATATAGCATCCTAATAGTAGGTGAGTTGGGGACATTGATAATTTGGATTTTAAAAATGTTCTTTTTGTTCCTAATAACCCTACTACTCTGTCTAGACTCTAGAGCTATTTGGGAGGCTAGTCGTTACCATCCCAATCAAACACCCTTGAGGGCAGGTTCTTCCCTTAACTTCTTTTTACCACCCTTCCCCATCCCCTCCACCCTAAGTGGCATTGGGTGGACTAGAGATAACCAGTAGCATATAGCAGATTGCCCAGTGCGTGGTTAGTAGCACTAGTATCAGTGGCTCTGGGAAGCTCAGACCCCATTTGCTTGCTTTAGGTGGTGTGGTGGCAGGGTTAAAACTCCCAACCTTGAGTCATCTTCCATTAGTAGGGGTAGAAGACCAGGGTCTTGCAGGGGTTGGAAGTTAACACAAAGTGGGAAAACTCATCACAGTTAGAATCTTTGGGGTGGGGCTTTGTTATCAAGCCTTTCTAGAAGCCCTTAGGTGATTTTGATGTGCTGTCAATGTTGAGAATCTTATACCAGGCTAAAACATTTTGGTCATAGCGTCCAGCCTGGAGATGAATGATTCCATGTAACTGTGTTTCACTTATGCCACCTTTCTCATTAGATTGACTCGAGGCCTATTTGCTCATTAACATAGTAGCTGAACACTTGGTAACAACATCCTGTGCACAACCTTGGGGAACTGAGTCAGACAGGAAGAATTTCTAGAGAGGAAACTCTTACTAGAGTCTGACTTTAATCTTCGTGTTCAGTGAAGATGAATGTAGGCAAGGCAGAAGTAGAGTGACAGCAAAGCAAAGTTTATTAAGAAAAGAAGATATCTTCAGTAGACTGTAAATGGATCTCTAGGGTGACAGTATTAGCTTTTGGAGTTTGAGTATTTTTGAAATTACCTATGAGAAATTTCTATCCCTAGATCTAGCCTACAGAGCTGAAATCATTGTTATGCAACAGGCTAAGCAACACTGACTACAGGAAGTGTACAGAATTACAATGTACATATGATTATTGGGGCCACCAGACTTCTAGGGTATGGTTTACTGGGCTTAGGTCTTTCTTTTGTTAAGTTAAAGATCTATTGTTCTAGAAACTGTTGTCCACCTATAAAGCCTTCTTAATCCTTAGGTGGACACAAAAGCATCTTGTGACATCCCATGGCTTGTTGGGCTGATTGAGATTAACGAAGGCTGGTCTCTTATGAATTGGAAAATTTTTAACTACAATGGTTTTTTCTCAGAGACCTTGTGATCTCTTCCTCCCTTGTGGTCACCTTCATGTTTACCTGCTACCTAAGATTCCTTCACACACACACCCCCAACAAGGACTAGAGGCTTTGAAGATTATTCCATTTTAGGTTCCCTTTGCATATCCCCATTGCTCATGTCTAACTGCTACCTAACAAACTGCCTAGTCTAGACCGAGGCCCTAGGAATTTGAATGACTTGGAGTTTTCTTCTACCTCTATCATATCCCAGCCCACCTGGGTGAGCAGGGTCACTGTCTACTCTTGGTAATTCCCTTTGAATCGTGGGTGCCTTTGATGGGTACAGATTCTTTTCTTTTTTACTTCAGGAGATTGAAGGGAAAAGCAGAAGAACATACAGTGTTGGAAGAGAAAAGAGGCAAGGCTGAGGCTTATTACTATCAGAGAGAATGAGTGTGTGTTTGTGTGTGTGCTTGGGAGGTCCAGTTGAGCATGCAGAGTCTGGCCATCCGCTTTGATTGCTCCACACCGGGCTTGCTCTTAGGTTTTTGCTGAGTCATGCTCCTTGGGCCTCTCTTCTGCTTCCAGTTCCTGGATTTATTTTGGCTTCTCCTTGGCCCAGCCAACCCCTCCCTGCCCCATGTTCAATTAGGGTGAGGAAGAAGTCTTGGCAAGTGAAGAGCTGGAGCCTGGGGTGTTGGGGATGATTAACAAATGACTAAATTGCAAATAGCTCTTACTGGGAATTAGGTACAGCTCTGCTATAAATCTTACACCAAGATGTCTCCTGGAGCCTATAGGGATCTCCTCCTCTCAGAAGTAGCCTGTACAATGGCTGTTTAATCCTTCCCTGTAGCTTTGGGAAGGACCAAAAGAAAACAAAACAAAAACCAAAGACTGTAAAAAGAAGAATCAGGAGTTTCCACCCATCTTCCATTCACCTTGTTCCCAGTCAGAGGTTCTACTCTGAGCACCTGGGGTCCTTCCCTCAGGCCTGTTCTCCTGTCTGTCAATGAAAGGGACAAAGGATTGTAGTGGTGCTCTACAAGCTGAGGGAGAGACAGTCCATCTCTGGGCTTTTTCAGTTCTCCCCTAGCTGGGTCTCCTCATGTATATTCCCCAGCAGAGTAGGAGCTCATGCCTTCTCCCTGCCCTGTCCTTACAGGAGCTGTCCACGCGGCTACAGTTCCTGCGCGAGCATGCAGCCCCCTTCTCTGCCTTCCTCACAGACAGTTTTGGACGGCAGCACAGCTATCTACGGATCTCCCTCACTGAGAAGTGCAACCTTCGATGTGAGTCACTTTCCAGGGCCCACTCCAACCACTATCCCTCTGCTCAAGTGGCTTCTGTAATCTTCCCATGCCCAGAAACCCTCCTCCTTCTGCTTTCCAACTTCCCCACCCATCACCCCTTACTTATTAGGCTAAGCAGGTTTTATGTAGGATTGCAGGTAGGATTCTGGAAGCTAAATCATACTTGAGATGAGATTATTGGATTTATAATCAAGATTGGGTTCTGGGCCTCTCACTTTCTAGGGCTCCTTTCTCCTGTTTTCCTTCAGTACCCAAAGTCCAGTATTTGGCCACTGGTGGGGGTGGCAGACATTATAAATGTGATATATACAGCAGTGCCTATGCCAACACTGCCAGCCATGAGACCTGTGGCACATCAGCCAAAGCTAAGCTGATATAAGAGCACTCATTGCATAATCCTATACAAAGATGCTCTGGAGGTATATCCACTGCCAGAGGGACTTCCACAGTTCACATCTACCTCTTTTCCTCCCTTCTCCCTTCTTTTCCTCTTACCCGCCCCTCTTTATCCCTTTCTTACCTTCTCCCTTTCCTTTCCTGCCTCCCTTCTACTGTATTTCACAATAAAAAATATATTTACCTCATGAGTTAATAAATACACATGCACTTAGAAATATTTAACAAAACACTACATGGGCTGGCAGAGTGGCTCAAATGGTAAGAGCACCTACCTAGCAAGCATGAGGCCATGAGTTCAAACCCCAGTGCTGTCAACAACAATAACAAAAACACTAAATGTGATATGTTCTGATATTCTACTTGTTCTCTTCAATCTTAAGAGTCCAATACACTAATTTGACTTTAGCAGACCTTGAGTGGACCCTAAATAAAGCTGCATAACAAGGAGTGGTAGTAGGGCTGACACTCCCTCACCTGCTCAGTCACCTATTTACCAAATTCTGTTCCCTCACCCTGAACAAGGAGCACCTCAGTTTCCAACCTGTAAAATGAGACTGTGATAGCCTGCAACACATAGGATGGACCTGACAACACTTAGGGCTAAGAGGAGATCAGCTTTGACCAGACCAGAAAGTACTTCTTCCACCTTGTGGCATACCCAGAGAGGTGACTTTGTCACAGCTATATGGAGTGATGAGGATGAACATTACCAGCAGAAATGGACCCAGGGTCTTGGTCTTTCCAGGTGGACCCTGCCCAGCTGACCTTGGACTGAGGGAGCCAGCATTTTGGGCATCCCCATCCCAAGCCTTCTCTTAGCCCAGTTTCTCATTTATAAACCATACCCTGAGCTCCTCCATGGAGGAATGATAAGATCAGATAAGGAAGGAAGGAGTGTTAACATCCCAACTGATAAGAAAGGCGAGTTGAGGGTTTGTACCACTCAGACTTGGTGAAGTCACTCATTATCCGGATGAAATTCAGGGAAACATTTGGCCTGATATGGAGCTGGGAAATGGGGACGTCCTAGGCTTGCCTACCATACCCATTTTCTACAATTTTCACCTTCCTTCCTTCCTTCAGGCCAATACTGCATGCCTGAGGAGGGTGTCCCCCTGACTCCCAAGGCTGACCTACTGACCACAGAAGAGATCCTGACACTTACCCGGCTCTTTGTGAAAGAAGGCGTGAACAAGATCCGGCTCACAGGTGGAGAGCCTCTCATTCGACCAGATGTTGTGAATATTGTGGGTGAGTTAGGCAAATATTATCACCTCTTCCCAGCCTCTGCCTCCTCCAGCTAAACCAATGTTAATATCATTGCTAATAGTTGCAGCTATCATTCATTGGAACCTCATGCTTACTGAGTCCTGCAGTACCCTCTTGAGACTGCACTGTGCCCCATCCCTCCTCTCCTGTCACAGAGCTGAGCTTTTGCACTTGCGATTCCTTTGCCAGGAGCTCAGGATTCACTGCTTGGCCTCATTCAGGTCTCCACTCAAATTTCATCTCCTCAGCAAGACCTTCCTTGACCTTTCTGTCAAAAGTGCATCCCAGGGTACACACCCCAGCCACTCATTCTCACAGAAGTTAACATGCTACAGCCCCTAGGCCATATTTGGGTTGCCACCTGGTTTTCATGCTTCTAAATTTTATCTTTGGGAAGGAAATCAAGAGAGTAACGCATTCTATCACATGAAACATATGAAGCCCAAAGTTCCAATAAAAGTTTCCAATAAAACCTTATTGGAACGTATTCATGCTCATTCATTTACTTATCATCAGTGGCTGCTTTTGCAGAATTGAGTGTTTAAAACAAAGACCATGTTGCAAAACTGGCCTGGTTGGCAAACCTGAGAATGTTTACTATCTGGATTTCTATGGAAAAAGTATGGCAATCCCTGCTGTACCCTCTTATCCTAGTCTATTTCTTCATGACATTTATCTCATCCTGGTAGTACATGATTAAGTTTAACTATATCTCCTCCTAGTGTGAAAGCTGTTGGGTTACTGAGGCAGGTTTTGTTCCCAACTGTGTTCCCATCACCTAAACTATGCCTGGCTTATAACTGGGTACTCACTGGTATTTGGTGAATGAATGAATGAAGCATGGGCCCAAGTATAGTCTCTGGAGTAAGACATACTTCCATTTGAATCTCAGCTCTGCCTCTTACTAGCTATATACCTCTAGGCAACTTTTGAAATTCCTTGTAAGCCTTTGGTCAGGGAAAGTAGCTACCTTATAGGGCTGCAAAGGGCAGCCTGTTGAGCTTCTTACCATGTGCTTGCTTCTAAGCCCAAGGACAGACAGTGAGAGACCTTTGCTTATAGATGATGAAATCAAAGGAAGATAAGGCTCTGTGTTCTTGATTGCTGGCTCCCTCCCAGCTGTCCTGGATGGACTCTCCCAACCTCAGCTCTCTGCCTCATTCACTGGTTCTGTGAACATTCTCTGGCATACCTGCTACCATGCCTGGTACTGTGCTGGAGATATAAAGATGAGTGAGCCAGAGACTCTGCTGTTAAGGACCCCAAGCTGAGTGGATTGACCAGTCATGTGATAAGGGCTGAGTAAAGGAAGGCCAGGTGGTGTGGGACCCAGGACCCCTTGAAAGCTCCCTCCTCCCTCCTTCCCCATGGCCAACTTCTCCCATCTCCCTCTGGTTACTTAGTGTAGGGTACTGCTATCATTCCTGTGCTGGGCAAGCTGGACCCATATTCTGACAGCTCCTGAGAACTGAAAGACAAGCTGAATTCCAGGAAAGGGCTTACCCTGCTGAACCTGGCTGGTTCCCAGCCCCAGCCCCCTCATTCAGGCCAATTCCTCTGCCTGTGGCCAGGGCGAGGGTTCCACCCTCAATCCCTATGCTTTATGCCAGGGTCTGTGACAGAGCTGAGGGAGGGAGGATCACTGGTTGGTAAGTGTGGCACAGGATTACTGAGCATGGACAAAGGAACTCAGAGTTCTTCATGGAAGCCCCTGACTTGCACAGTGGGAAAAGTAGAGCCAGAAGAGTTGACACCTCTGTTCCTGTTCTACCATGCCCTGACCCTGGTACTCCTACATGTTCCCACCCTGCTTGAGGCTTGACTTCCTCAGCTGTAGAATGGCTACTCTAGGGACCTTTCCTGCTGTGATGTTACATGATCCTTGCTCCTAGATGATGATTTGGAATGGGCATGGGTTATCATACAGACACTGGTTAGGACAAGGACCTGCCTACTATGACCTGCTCCTAAGGATTTACCTCCTCCCTCCACTTTTTCCTCCCCCAGTGCTTCAACAGAGTGGCAGCTACATTGCCTTGAATTCCCAAGGTGCTGACTTTGTGAGCACTTTGATGTTTCTCAGGGTAGCCTTGTTGATCTCCTCCCGAGGTACTGCCTCATAGCAAGAACAGGGCAGGTGGGTACTAGTAGGGGAAGGAGAGCTGGAGTAAAGTGAGGAAACAATGTCTAAGTTGGAATGTTTATAAACACTTGTCCCCTGCTTACAGTGAGGGGTTCAAGGGATACCACCCAAGAGCAGAGGGAAAGGATTGCATGTTGTTGATTTCCCCAAACCTGTGTCCTACTGGCTTGGTTTCCTGCTCATGCTCTGACAGTCTTGCAAATGGTGGTGCAGAACTCCCTGTGGGAAGCTTATATGCTGTGTGGCTCTCTAGCTCCCCCTGTCTGTAGTCAACTGTGATGCCCTCAGCCCTCAGCCATCCAATGCCTCTCAAGTGTTTGTCCTGCCTACCATGTGTGAGCCTTCCTCTGACTATTCCTTTCAGCTCAGGTGGAGTTTTTGTTTACTTTTTTTTTCTTTTTTGGGGTGCTGGGGATGAACCCAGGAACTTGTGCATGCTAAGCAAGTGCTGTGCCATTGAGCTACATCCCTGTCCCAGAGGCAGGTTTAAAGGAGTGCAGTCCACTAAAACTTTACAAGATGCTGGGGGATTCTGTATCTGCATAGTCTGATATGGTAGCCACTAGCCACAGGTAGCTCTCAAGCACTTAACTCTTAGCTAATGTGACTGAGTGTGATGGTTAATCTTGACTGTCAACTTTTTTGGATTGAGAAGCACCTAGGAAATCAGTAAAGCACACTGTTGGGCATGTCTGTGAGGGCATTTCCAGAGGGAATTACCTAGGGGTGGTGGGAACACCTGCCCTGAATGTGTATGGCACTATTTCCTAGGCTTGGAGCCTAGATGGAAAACAAAGGTGGGTGGGGGGGAGGGGGAAGCTGAGCACAGGCATTCATGGTGCTTCCTAGCCACCATGATGTGAACCACACTACTCTACTACCTCTCCCCACCAGAGTGGACTGAGTGAGACCTCTGTAACCATGAGCCCAAATAAATCTTTCCTCCCATAGTCGTTTATGTCAGGTCTATTAAATGAATCAGCATTTTCTTCTATGGTTGGTATTTTTGTATCTTATTAATGAAATACCTAACCCAAGGTCAGATCAACTACTTGTATTTTCCACTAAAATCTTTTAAGTTTTGTGCTTAAGTCCTTAGTTCATCTGTGGATAACTTTTAAGAATCCAGTTTAGTATTTTTCCATATAGATGGAAAAATAGATGTTGTTTCTAGTTCTTTCTATTGAACAATCCCTGTTTCCTCCATAAATCTGCACATAGGCATTGAACTATTTCAGGTTCTGCTCTGTTCTATTGATCAATGTTTTTTGTGCCAATATCATATTATCTTAATCACTGTAGCTTCATAATAAGGCCATTATCCTGTAGGGGAAGTTCTTTATATACTTTTCAACAGTGTTTTAGCTCTACTAAACCTTGGCCCTATAAATTCTAGAATCAGCTTATCAAGTTCCATGGACAATCCTCTTGGGATTTTTAAAACTGAATTGAACTGGAAAATTGACATCATTTTTGCTCACAACCCCCCAACCTTCCAGAGTCATCTCTCTCCTTTGTCCTGCTCTTTGCTTAGGGGCCACATTGCTCAGGTTCCCTTTTCTGTTGCACATCCCCTGCTCTTGTGGGTTTTTGACAGCAAGACTCCCTCCAGAACTAAAACTCCCACAGAGCTGAGAGTGAATACTGGGCCCCTAAACTCAATTCCATCTGTGCCTCTTTGGCCCTATGCATGTTTTATTGTGTCCCCAAATGTTGCTAGCCTGAGTGCTGTGCTATACATTATTGGGTCTCTTTATTGTGCCCCCATCTTTGTAAGTAGCCTTTTCATTATAGTCTTTGTTTTAACAAAGTGAACTCAATTTTATGTAAGCATGCAGAAAAATGAAGAGCTTTCTTTTTGTTTTGTGGTACTAGGAGAAACCCAGTAACTTGCACATGCTGGACAAGTGCTGTACCTCTGAGTACTTCTCTTCTTCTTTTTTTTTTCTTGATACATTTAACCAGAGGTTTATCTATTTTTCCAGTTTCTGACAAGCCAACCTCTGGATTTGTTGACCCTCCTTAGTGTATATTTGTATTTCGTTTCATTATTTCTGTTCTAGCCTGACCTGTTGCTTTCATTAAGCATCTTCATTGTTCATCATTTCATCCTCAGCTTCCATAACTACATCTTTTTCTACTATAATTTTCTTGCATCCCTATATTTGGCTCCTTTTCATTACCTTGGACGTACCTGGATAACCCAAGATAATCTTTCCACATCTCAAAATTCTTTTTTATTTTTTTCATTTCTTTTTTTCTTGTTGCAAATGTTTTCTCTGTTTTATCATATTATTGTTGTGCTGATAAATTGTGAAGTTTATAAAAGTTGTTACAATATATCATACTTAAATTCACCCCCTCCCCCAATCCTGGAATAGTTTCAACAGGCCTCATTTTGGCATTTTCATACATGAGTACATAGTATTTCTACCTCCTCTCTCTCACTTGTACCAACCCCCAGACAGGACCCGTTCTACCTTCCTTTTTCCATTTTTTAAAAAAGACATTTTTGTTTCTTTAAGATAGCTATACAGGGTATTTCCTTGTGACATTTCCATGTATATATGTATTATAACCCAAATTGGTTCATCTTCTCTATCTTTCTCCTTTCTATCTTAGTCTCTTTCTTTATTTTTATTTTATTTTATTGTTTTTACATTTAATTACATGTGTATACATAATTTGGGCCACACACCCCCACACCACTTCCAGGCAGAATCTGTTCTGCTCTCTCAATCTCCGATTTTGTTGAAGAGAAAAAATAAAAGATAATAAGAAATACATAGTGTTTTTGCTACCTTGAGATAAAAAATAGCTATGCAGAGATTCCTAGTGT